AGATGTCTTATCTCTCAGACATTTTGTTGCCTATCATCATTTTGCTAATAATTATGGTAGAGCACACAGTGCTGTTTCCATTTTCCTTAATGGAAATATTCTGCAGAGTAAAGTCGCCCTTAACTCGCCTTTACATACAGTTGAGGTTAGGGTGACTCTACATATTCCTATCACAATTTGCTCTGTATATTTACCACCAAGTTTGCATCTGAACCCCACAGATCTTGATGACCTTGTTGCACAACTTCCTCTCCCATTTATTATTACGGGAGATTTCAATGCTCATCATTCACTCTGGGGTATTCCAGACGATAACAACAGAGATAAACAAATAGCGGACTTAATTAACATTAATAATTTGTGTTTGTTAAATAATGATTCGCCTACTGCCACAGCTTCTTTTTCTTCCCTCGATCTTACCATTTGCTCTCTGTTTCATGGTTTTACCTGGAGAGTAAATGAAGATCTGTGTGGCAGTGATCATTTTCCGATCTTGATAGAAAATAATGGACCCTCTCTTGTTGAACGACCGCAGAGGTGGAAGTTGCATAAGGCTGATTGGGCTCTTTTTGAATCTTTGTGTCTCTTCTCTTTTGACTCAAAGGAGCTAGAAGATGCAGATGAGCCCATGGCCGTATTCACTTCAATTCTGCAAGATGTAGCTGAGCAGGCTTTTCCAAAGACCATGACTCAGCCCAAACGTTTCAATAAACCATGGTATAATAAAGATTGCAAATCCGCTCTGAAAGAGCGTGATCGTATTTTAAGACGCATTGAGAATCAAACTTCCATGAAGAATCTTGCAGCATACCAAATGGTCCAGGCGAAGGCCGGTAGAACCATATGCCAGGCAAAGAAGTCTTCATGACAGGGTTGTGTCTCTAGGATAAATTCCCGTACGACACCCAAATCGGTATGGGATAGGATTAAAGGTAAAAGTAGTGCATTATCAGTTAACCATCTAAATGTTGATAATACCACCTTAACAACATTTCCTGATATTGCTAATTCTCTGGCCAGTACATTTTCATTCAATTCATCATCCAATTTCTCCTCTGATGACTTTCGGTGCATTAAAAATCAGCAGGAGAAAAGGCGACTAAACTTCAAGTTCCACAATGATGAATGTTATAATGATCAATTTTCTATTGCTAAACTCCGCAATTCACTTAAACGAATTCGGGATACTGCAACTGGTCCAGATGAAATTCACTACCAGATTTTAAAACATCTACCTTTTTCTACACTTTTAATATTATTAGATCTTTATAACCGGATTTGGGTTGATGGGGTTTTCCCTCCTTCGTGGCATGAAGCCACAATAATTCCCATCCCTAAACCGGGTAAAGATCATACGAATCTTACCAACTATCGTCCGATTGCTTTAACTAGCTATATTTGCAAAAACCGTGGAGAGATTGATCAATCGAAGGTTTGTTTGGTACCTTGAGTCCAACAACCTTATTACTGACCTCCAATGTAAATTTTGGTTCCAGAGGAGCACTCTTGATCATCTCGTTAGATTTGAAACGTTTGTCAGGCATGCTTTCATCCAGAAACAACATTTAGTTGCTATATTTTTATACGTCCACATTTTCATGTGGACGTATATTGTCGTCACCCCTGTCCATTCGTCCACAATTTGTTTGTGGACACTCTACAGGTCACAATTCTTATTCGATTTTGACGAAACTTGAAATATAGGTTTATCTCCAAAAGATCTCGGTTCCTTTCGATATCAGCATGTATCGGATCGAAATTTCATGGATTATGGCCCCTGTTTGTACAAAAAATCACGTTTTTAGCTTGTGGACCCTATAGAGGTCACAATTTTTATCCGATTTTGTTGAAACTTGAAATGTAAGTTTATAACCCAAAGATCTCGGTTCCTTACGATATTCGCGCATATCGGACCGTAACTTCCTGAATTATCGCCCCTGATTGTACGAAAAATCGCGTTTATATCACCGTTACACCCTAAGGATGGCTGAATTCGTGAAAATCGGCCCAAAATTGACAGACATAATGGCTGCCGTTCGTTTTCAAATAGCGTAAAAATATGGTATATCAAGGTTGTGGACCCTATAGAGGTCACAATTTTTATACGCCCACATTTTCATGTGGACGTATATTGTCGTCGCCCCTGTTTGTCCGTGCGGACGTCTGTCCACAATTTGTTTGTGGACACTCTACAGGTCACAATTTTTATCCGATTTCAAGGAAACTTGCAATATAGCTTTATCTCCCTAAGATCTCGGTTCCTTTCAATATTGGCATGTATCGGATCTAAACTTCATGTATTATGGCCCCTGTTTTTAGCTTGTGGACACTCTAGAGGTCACAATTTTGATGAAACTTGAAATGCATGTTTATAACCCAACGATCTTGATTCCTTTTGTAATTCGCGCATATCGGATCGTATCTTCCTGAATTATGGTCCCTGATTGTACGAAAAATCACGTTTTTGGCTTGTGGTCCCTCCAGAGGTCACATATTTATCCAATTTAAAAAAACGTTTTAGTATATCACCGTTACACCGTAATAAAGGTTGAGATCGAATTTCGTGAAAATCGGACCAAAACTGACAGACAAAATGGCCGCCGTTCATTCTCAAATAGCGTAAAAATATGGTATATCAAGGTTGTGGACCCTATAGAGGTCACAATTTTTATCCGATTTTGTTGAAACTTGAAATATAATCTAAAGATCTCGGTTCCTTTCGATATTCGCGCATATCGGACCATAACTTCCCAAATTATAGCCCCTGATTGTACGAAAAATCGCATTTTTAGCTTGTAGACCCAATAGAGATCATAATTTTTATCCGATTTAAAAGAACGTATTATTATATCACTGTTACACCCTAAGCACGGCTGAGTTCGAATTTCGGGAATATCGGCTCAAAACTGACCAACAAAACGGCCGCCCTTTGTTCACAAATAGCGTAAAAATATGGTATATCAAGGTTGTGGACCCTATAGAGGTCATAATTTTTTATCCGATTTTGTTGAAACTTGAAATGTAAGTTTATAACCCAAAGATCTCTGTTCCTTTCGATATTCGCCCATATCGGATCGTAATTTCCTGATTTATGGCCCCTGATTGTACGAAAAATCATGTTTTCAGCTTGTGGACCCATTAGAGGTCATAATTTTTATCTGATTTAAAAAACCGTATTGTTATATTACCGTTCCACCCTAAGGACAGTTGAGTTTGAATTTTGTGAAAATCGCCCCAAAATTGACAGACAAAATGGCCGCCGTTCGTTCTCAATTAGCTTAAAAATATTTTATATCAAGGTTGTGGACCCTATAGAGGTCACAATTTTTATCCGATTTTGTTGAAACTTAAAATGTAAGTTTATAATCCAAAGATCTCGGTTCCGTTCGATATTTGCGCTTAACGGATCGTAACTTCCTGGATTATGGTTCCTGATTGGTCGAAAAAAAAATTTTTCGATTTTAAAAACCGTTTAGATCACTATTCCACCATAATGAATGTTGAATTGAAATTTTGGAAAAATCGAAATGAAACTGCTGACAAAATGGCCGCTCTTTGTATGCAAATTGTAAGTATGTAATTCAAAGGTTATGGACCCTCTAGAGGTCACAATTTTGATCCAAAAATCTTAGTCCCTTTTGATATTTGTGCATTTCAGACCATAACTTTCTGGATTATGGCCCCTGATCGTACAAAAAATCGTTTTTGTTTTTAGCTTGTTCTCTATCCATCTAGCTTGCAAAACGTGGGCGTATCCTGCCTGGCAGCCGCTGGTTTCTTTTATCGTTAATCCCTTATTAATAATTTAGACTACAACTACAATCAAATAATTTGTTTCTGAGGCCTTTCTATCACATTCTAAGACAAAAGTATTAAAATCTACACCACCGATAAAATCTGAAACACTGTTATTTTAGCTTGTTCTCTATCCATCTCTTGCAAAATGTGGGCGTATCCTGCCTGGCAGCCTCTGGTTTCTTTTATCGTGAATCCCATATTAATAATTTAGACTACAACTACAAAAAAATAATTTGTTTCTGAGGCCTTTCTATCACATTCTAAGACATAAGTATTAAAATCTACACCACCGATAAAATCTGAAACACTGTCATTTAATATGGACGGTAAATACATCATTTGCTGAAAATTTTAATTTAGAAATATCACTGTTTTACCAAAAAATTTTAAGAAGAAACAGTACAATTTTTAACTGTCAAAACATTGAACAGGATGGAAACAAATGATTGAAAGTCGTCTGTTTATAAGAGAAGGAACTCTCATTAAGCTAGTAAAGCTGCATTAAGCTAACCGAAAGGTCGACAGTTGTCAGCATGGGTCCTTAAAGTAGTTAAGTCTCTAACTCAATATCATCCAAAGTCTTCATCATTGAAATAAGAAATATTAGTCAATTTAAATTAAAATTGATGTTGTGATCTTACTAGGAAAAAATGGGCTTCTGATATCCAATATTTAAGACAAAATATACATTTTAACATTGGTACACGAATCTTGTAACATAATGTGTTTCAGCACCATTTGTAACAAGGGACTTGAAGAACGAGGCTAAACATATTCCACATGTCATGTCAAACAGTGACACCACGTTCTTGTCTGGAGAGCATGCACAGTAAATACTATCTGTGTAGACGCTAGAGATTGCCATTCGATTGAGACTTCTGGCGAATTTTGCCGAACAAAACTGATTTGAAATTAGAGTAAAAACTGAAACTATTGAATGTAAATCAGTTTATATACATTCATATTACAATATTATATGCGTTGCAACCCATTTGTGTCAATTTCTAGGTCCCAAATATTAGCGATATAGCTCCTTTAACGGTAATGTTATAAGTGTCGATAAGAGTCGACATGGGACAGTTAAGACTAGCGTTAAAAAGGGCAAAATGTAAGAAGGGCCTGCATGAGGCCTAATGTTTTAACCTTTGATTTCTATTGATGGAGTGGTAAAATACTGCATTAAATTCTCTCTCTATATGTAGATGAATTTACAGAAGAATTGCATATAGAAGAAGAAAAAAATGCAGTCGTGAAAGCTGAAATTCAGTCTACTTCATCTTCTTCTAAATCTTGTTTATCTCGAACTAAATGTGAATCAAGTAGAACAGCTAAGATAAAGAAGACAACATTAATATCTACACGAGAAATTATAGATTCTAAATGTGAGAAGAGATCATATATAACATCAAGACTAGGTGTAAAACTGGACACTAGACCACAAGCTGTAGCTTCTCCTATTAAACAACCTACTTCTGGAGTAAGTAAACAAACATTATATTTACAGTGTTAATAACACTGTTATATTTCTGTATTAACAGATTTGTTTAAGAAAATTGAATTGAGGAAATAAAATAGATAACTATTAATATTATTAATAATATGGATTATTACAGCAAATAGCTATCAGTAGTAAAAGACAAGGACCAACATCAGTAGTGGGAAATGTTATAGATAATAATGATGATGAGGAAGAATATGATCCATTGAATCCAGCTGTTGGTAGTGTAGCTAGTGTAGTTAAAGTGACATCCAGAAAGTAAGTTGATTATTTATCCCCCACCAAACCAAGTTAGGGAGGATTTTTATTGAATACTAGGATTGGGAAACATTCAAAGCCTATTTTATCCCTCTCTCCAAATTTTACATGTGTACAGAAATAAGACAAAATGAAAATTATGTACACTATTTACAAAATATAAATTTCCTGGATTCTGATTGGTCCTCTTACTTTCCTGGTGCGACTCACTGCAAACGAATATTTCCTAGGAACTACAATGCCTTTGCAGTGGGAAATTTTTTTACACCTTAAAACTTTATTCCACTTAAATTTTTCATTACAGGCTTCTATTGATTTAAATGGGATCAAATGAACAATACAGACCTCTAAATTCTAAATAGGAGGTGTTTATCTCCTAAACACATACATATAACTTCATTCAATTTCCCATCCATTCACTGTAACATTTTTATACGCCTCCGTCCGTCTGGCTTGTGGATGCTTTAGAGGCTAAAGTTAATATCTGATTGACTTTAAATTTATACACAGTGTTTAAATTCATGAGAGGAAGAATCCTATTGATTTTCAATGATTTCTGATAATTACTACCAGAGTTATGCCCCTTGATCACTTTGAAAAATCTTGTAGACTCTCCATAGGCTAAAGTTAATATCTGATTGACTTTAAATTTATACACATTATTTAAGGTCATGAGACGAAGAATCCTATTGATTTTCAACAATTTCTGATAACAACTACCAGAGTTATGACCTTTAATCACTTCGAAATATCTTGTGGATGCTCTGGAGGCAAAAGTTAAAATCCGATTGACTTTAAGTTGATACAGTGTTTAAGGTCATCAGATGAAGAATCCTATTGATTTACAACAATTTTCGATAATTACTGCCAGAGTTATGGCCCTCAACCAATTTCAAATATCTAGTGGATGCTCTGGAGGCAAAAGTTAATATCTGATTGACTTTAAGTTTATGAACAGAAGGTCATGAGGTGGAGAATCCTATTGATTTTCAAGGATTTCCGATAAGGTCATAAGATGAAGAATCCTATTGATTTTCAACAATTTACAATAATTACTGCAGAGCACGAACTAAGCTTCACTGATCACCAATTTGGAACAACGTTGTCCTAGATGTTATATAGCAACTGCTAATAGCGAGACTTTATTAGGGGCAATAAATTTGATCAACAATTTCATTGTGACTAAACCAACTTAGAATTTATCAGAAAGAACAGTAATATTATTCCCAATACATTCACTGTCATGACTGTAGATTAATAACGATGTGTTGTGTATCCTTATTTAAAAATTGTTATTTGTCAGCCACACAAATGCCTCTATGAATTATGTACATTAGCTATATTTTAATTACATCAAAGTTGTATTAGAAATTACTGTTGTCCTGAAATATTTTTTTTTTTTTTTTAAAATCATTACATGGGACTCAAATAACCAGAAATATTTAAAATTAAGCTATGTAAGTTTAAAACTATGACTTTAAAATATAGTGAAAATGTCAAAATCAATCACTTCAGTAATAAATTGTTGTTGCTGAAAAAGGTCCCTATAAAGACTGTAGCCCAAACCTTTTAACACAATTTTACATATCCGATGCATTGAAGAATAGCTAATGTCTTATTTAACTTTGAATGGTGTGAATATAAAAACATAACAAATATAGGAATATTTACTGAAATACGCAACAAACCATCTATAATCCTTATAAGACATATAGAAATAGATTTCACTAAAAATTAAAACACATGATTATGGATGTACTACTTCTGAAATTTATTATCATATCATGATAATAAAATTCAGAAGTAGTACATCCATGTAAGTGTTCTAATTTTTTGACAAACCATCTGTCTCTTTATACAAAAACTTTGTTGTGGGTCAGTATTTTTGTCCCCCACCTTTCAAAGAAAGCAGGGGACTATTAAAATGGGTTCGTCCATCCGTTCTTACGAAATAGGGGTTATGGGACGAATTGTTCGCCCAACAGCACATTATGTATTATGTGACTGTCACATAATAAATTGGTAGATATCGTCAAAAATCACTTCAGCAAAGGTCACGTGACCCCCACACAAAACTGCAACATAATCATATGGTTAGTTTTTGTCTGTTTTATTGGACGTCCGTAGCTCCTTTAATAGAGTTATCTCCCTTAACTCGGGTGACGCTTTGTGCTCCATATTAATATTTACAACAGTGGCGCAACAGGAAGTAGACCACCCACCATCTTCCACTACCCCACATGACGGCATTGTTCAACGAGTAACTGATTATGGCAAGTCGATTTGCAGATCCCATTCAATCACGTTTATGGCAAAAATTATCCTATTTGTTTTCACGTAACCGCCGTATTTACCACAACGATTTACCAAATCGATTGTGAAAATCTTCCAATTTGCTTGCCTGCCTGCCCGATTGACGATTCAATTTCCAAGATGACGTCCCCGTCAAGACCCGACGTTAGGCCTAGTTGATTTTATTTTGAATTTCACGTTAAAATACATATTACGGACATTCCTAATACGAATACGGGGCATTTGGGCACAGTCAACTGATTCAACTTGTCATTTTTATACGCCCACATTTTCATGTGGACGTATTATGCCGTCGCCCCTGTCCGTCCGGACGTCCGTCCACAATTGTTTGTGGACCCTCTATAGGTCACAATTCTTATCCGATTTTGGCGAAACTTGAAATATAGGTTTATCTCCAAAAGATCTCGGCTGCTTTCGATATATCGGATCGAAAATTCATGGATTATGGCCCCTGTTTGTACGAAAAATCACGTTTTTAGCTTGTGGACCCTATAGAGGTCACAATTGTTATCCAATTTTGTTGAAACTTGAAATATAAGTTTATAACCCAAAGATCTCGGTTCCTTTCGATATACGTGCATATCGGACCGTAACTTCCTGAATTATGGCCCCTGATTGTACGAAAAATCACGTTTTTATCTTGTTGACCCTATAGAGGTCATAATTTTTATCCAATTTAAAAAACCGTATTATTATATCACTGTTATACCCTAAGGACGACTGAGTTCGAATTCCGTGAAATAGCGTAAAAATATGGTATATCAAGGTTGTGGACCCTATGGAGGTCACAATTTTAATTCGATTTTGTTGAAACTTGAAATGTAAGTTTATAACCCAAACATCTTGGTTCCTTTTGATATTCGCGCATATCGAACCGTAACTTCCTGAATTATGCCTCCTGATTGTACGAAAAATCGCGTTTTTAGCTTGTGTACCCAATAGAGGTCATAATTTTTATCCGATTTTAAAAACCGTATTATTATATCACCGTTACACCCTAAGGAGGGCTAAGTTCGAATTTCGTGAAAATCAGCCAAAAATTAACAGACAAAATGGCTGCCGTTCGTTCTCAAATAGCGTAAAAATACGTTATATCAAGGTTGTGGACCCTATAGAGGTCACAATTTTTATCCGATTTTGTTAAAACTTGAAATGTAAGTTTATAACCCAAAGATCTCGGATCCTTTCGATATTCGCACATATCAGACCATAACTTCCTGAATTATGGCCCCTGATTGTACGAAAAATCGCGTTTTTAGGTCATAATTTTTATCCGATTTAAAAAAACGTATTATTATATCACCGTTACGCCATAAGGACGGCTGGGTTCGAATTTCGTGACGATTGGCCCAAAACTGACAGACAAAATGGCCGCCCTTCGTTCTCAAATAGCGTAAAGATATGGTATATCAAGGTTGTGAACCTTAATCCTATTTTGATAAAACTTGAAATGTAAGTTTATAACCCAAAGATCACTAGCTGGCACTAAGGTGCTAATTAATTGATGAGATTAACTGAGTTAAGTTAATCTCACTAAAGTTATATTATACACAACAGACTACTAATGTATAGATTGTTCTTCATTATAACACTATCATGTGAATATTATGCCGTATGTGTTGTGGATGTTTCGTTACGAAAGGAGTGCATTTTCGTCGTCAGCACCCTTGAAATCCTAAATAAAAAACATATTAAACGACAAAATATAGCAAATAAATTGCGGAAATAGTTGGATCAAATTTTTACTGCGATTTTCGTCTTCAGCACCACTGAAAACCCATGGAAAGATATATTCAACGATAAAACAGCAGATAAATGGCCTTGTTGCTATGGGATTTTGATTTGGAACATACCAAATTTTTGACTTGCTTTTTCTCACAACTTACTTTTGTGAGTTGGGTAGCTTCTAATGGACACAGCTCAGTCAATTTTTGCCCAATTCAAACAAACTACACATCAAATTGAAGGTAATGAGTTGGAGAATGTGAAAATAACAATAACTCAATTTTCAAAATTTCCTCATTGTGACTCAGTATGCTGTGGGGGTCACATATGTTGTTTACATTAGTGAGATGAAGAAGCCTATTTAATTTCAATAATTTCCGTTTATAACGTCTAGAGTTATGGCCCTTGTTTCACTTTGTTGAACCTTATGAATGCTTTAATGCCAAAAGTTAACATCCGATCTTTGTGAAATTTATATGCAGGGGACTATTAAAATGGGTTCGTCCGTCTGTCTGTCCGTCTGTCTGTCCGTCACACTTTTTGGGACACAATAACTCTCTTCCTAATTGAGCTAGAATGTTCAAACTTGGTGTATGTGTTTATTAGGTCAATGCCTTGATGGAGTTCGAAGATGAGCATTTTCCGCTTAGGGTAAGCAGAGATAAGCAATTTGATTGGTTGATGCTTTGGGACACGATAACTCTCTTCCTAATTGGGCTAGAATGTTCAAACTTGGTGTATGTGTTGATTAGGTCAATGCCTTGATGGAGTTCGAAGATGAGCATTTTCCGCTTAGGGTAAGCAGAGATAAGCAATTTGATTGGTTGATGCTTTGGGACACGATAACTTTTAATTGAGCTAGAATGTTCAAACTTGGTGTATGTGTTTATTAGGTCAATGCCTTGATGGAGTTCGAAGATGAGCATTTTCCGCTTAGGGTAAGCAGAGATAAGCAATTTGAT